TGTCCACCACATACTCAGCCTTCACGTACATTAGCAGGAACCGCAGTCTTGTCAGACTGACCCCTAATAATCCCTAGAAGCCCGCCCTCAGCCTAGGCCTCTGCACATGCTGGTATGTACAGCAGACTGGTCTAGTATGTCACACATCCCTTTTGGCTCTCATACACATCAATTGGTTTTGGAGTCTACCTGACCAACCCCATTATCCATTCTACACTCATGCCAGCAGGTGCTTCTGCCTGTCTAGCCAGGTCTGTCCCCAGCCCTGGTTCCCATGCTCACTTGTGGGAACTGCAGCCTGTCAGAGAGATGCTCACAATTTACCTACCTAGGTCCATTCCCAGCCCCAGACCTTGCACTTTCCAGGTGGTTCCATGGTCTAGCCTGACAGGACTTGCCCCAATCCTGGCACCTGCTAGCTGACGCTGCAACAAAGCCCAAACAGCCTACACTTTGGCTCATGCATGTACCAGTGGATAGTTGCTTAGCCCAGCCTGGCTCTCCCCCTAACCCAGGACACATGCAGGCCAATGAGTTCTGTATCCCTGCTCAGCCCGGTCTGCCTATCACCTGCTGCCTCTTAAGGTGTGCATCAGCAAGAAGCTGGAGTTGGGAGCAGGCAGGTGTCTCAAGCAGTAACTTTAGTCACTGCACCAAACATCTGTCACTCCTATAGAAATTTAGTTGCCATTGCAATGCTGCCTATTAAGAGGTGGGCCTCAGGCCTGCATTGTGGCACATCGTGTTAAGCTTCTGGTTGCAACACCAGCATCCCATATGGAACTGCTGATGCAAGCTCTGGCTGCTCTGCCTCTGATCCAGCTGCTTGCTAATGTGCCTACGAGGGCAGCAGAAGATGGCTCAATTGCCTGAACCCCTATCACTCACGTGAAGACCAGATAGGATTCCTGACTCCCAGTCTTTGGCTTGGCTCAGCCCAAGTAAATTTTTTCAAAAAGATTTATTTATTCATTTATTTATATTACGAAGTCACATATACAGAGAGGAAGAGAGACAGAGAGGGAGAGCTTCCATCCGATGATTCACTCCCCAAATGACTGCAATGGTCAGTGCTGTGCCAATCTGGAGCCAGAAGCCAGGAACTTCCTCCAGGTCTCCCACACGGGTGCAGGATCCCAAGGTTTTGGTCTGTCCTCTACTGCTTTCCCAGGCCACAAGCAGGGAGCTGGATGGGAAATGGAGCTGCCAGGATTAGAACTGGTGCCTATATGGGATCCCAGTTCATTCAAGGAGAGGACTTTAATCACCAGGTCACGCTGCCGGGCCCAGCCCAAGTTATTGCAGCCATTTCGGGGTAGTTTAGGGACTGGGAGCCATGCATCAATCCATGGTAGAAATCCAGAGACGCCTGCATTTCCAGGTTCCAACGAATGACTTGGCTTGCAGAGCCCTTCAAAAGCGCTTCAAAAGAGGATGAGGAAAGCATGTGCTACTGCCTTTATACGTGAGCCTGACTTGTATGAGGCAACAACTTAGCCACTGAGCCATTGCACTGAGCTCTTGGGCCATCTCCTGCTGCTTTCCCAGGCCATTAACAGAGTTGAGGGACTGGCAAGATGGCTCAATTGGCATATCTGTGAGTGCTGGTTCATGTCCCGGCCGGCTGCTCCACTTCTCATCCAGCTTCCTGCTTGTGGCCTGGGAAAACAGTAGAGGATAGCCCAAAGCCTTAGGAGCCTGCACCTGCGTGGGAGACCCAGAAGCAGCTCCTAACTTCTAATAGATTCAGCTCCAGCCATTGCAAACTTTTGGGGAATAAACCAGCAGATGGAAGATTTATCTATCCTTCTCTCTGTAAACCTTTTCCAGTTAAAAATAAATAAATCTTATTTTTTTTTAAGTCTCAAACCCATGCACTTATGGGCCACGCTGCTAAGACAACCCAGCGAAGAGACCTGTGTGTGATTGTGTGTGTTCTTGGTCTCTGAGCCCTACCTCCTCCATCAGAGACCGTGAAGTGCAGCCCAGCCATCTGCATTTAGCCCTCTGGTGCGCTCAAAATTGAGAACCCCACTCCACCCTAATCCAAGGCCCATCCCTTTCAACCATGTAAACAATATATATATATATAAAGAAAGCTTTCATACTCCCGGCAGAATGCAGCTTGAGAAGGGTCAAGGGCAGGATATACCTCATCACCTCACTCAAGTCACGTGTATTGAGTACTGACTCTGCATCCCCATGCGGTCATTTGACTTTCATAAGCACCTTACAAACCTGGCATTTATTGACTTGCTTTTAAAGATTTACTTATTTTGCTTTAAGGTAGAGTTATGGGATGTATGGGAGAGGGAGAAAGACAGAGAGAAAATCTTCTACCTGCTAGTTCACTGCCCACATGACCACAATTACTGGGACTAGGCCAAGCTGTAGTCAAGAGCTCCATTCACATCTCCCATGTGGGTACAGGGGCCCAAGCACTTGGACCATCTGCTGCTGCTCTCCCATATCGTTAGCAGAGAGCTGGCTCAGCAGTGCAGCAGCCAGAACATGAACCTGTGTCCATATGGGATGTCAGCGCTGTAGGCAGAGGATTGGTCTGCCATGTCACTGTGCTGGCCAGTATTTATTTATTTTTAAATAATGCTCCTGAGAAGGGACTTTTTAGAAAAGGTTTTTTTAGAAAACAGCTTGCATAAAGGCTACATGAAGACAGTGTAGGATGAACTTGCTTTGAAGCCAGTCAGGTACAGCTGGAGGACTGAGATAAGATGCTGACCCAAATGGGCTGGCCACAGGCCCAATCCTATCCACAGACACACTTCTGTAAACCTTACTTGCTTGCTTGGCCATTGCCCCACCACCCTACTAGTGCTAAAAATAGCTCATGCTACTTCCATGTAAGAGTTTGTAACAAAAGCCCATCAAGGATCAGCCTTCTAGGAGGTACCAAGGCTGTGGCCCTCCTTTTCAGTAAGTGGTTATGAGTCTCTGGTGGTCAATTTCCATCACACCCCCTGCTGCTAGTCCACTCCCCAAATGACCCCCAGGGGTGACAGATGAGCAGAGGTACAAGTTAGGATCCAGGAACCCAATTCAAGCCTCCTGGTAGGTGGAGGCATTCATCCAGGTCTCCCCCAAGCCATCCTCACTGCTGGCCCTTAGCGGGAAGCTGCAGTCACAAACCAGGGTGGCTTTCAGTGCAGATGCTTGAATGTGGAATGCAGGGGTCACTGCTTCTGATGTGGGGTGCAGGGGTCACTGCTAGCCTGGATGTTCACCCTGAAAGCTGCGACTGTCACCTTGTTTGGAAGAGCAAGAAATTGGGGTGCAATGACTTTTCTGGGGACTACAGGCTGATGATGGAATGGCAGAGCCGGCTGCCTGTGGCTTCCAAGCCCAATGTAGCTGACCTGTAGACCAGCGTTTCCCCAAGCTGGGCACATAAGTAGCACCAGGAGCGAGGGCATGCTCTTGGGATATCTGAATCTGCATTTTTTTTAATAAAAAAAAGATTATTTTTATTTGAAAGGAAGATTTACAGAGAGAAGGAGAGACAGAAAAAGAGCTCTGTCTGTTGATTCAATCCCCAGTTAGGTCACCAACTGGAGCTGAGCTGAGCTGATCTGAAGCCAGGAGCCAGGAGCTTTTTCCCAGTCTTCCATATGGATTTAGGGATCAAAGGATTTGAGCCATCCTCTACTGCTTTCCCAGGTCATATGCAGGAAGCTGGATTAGAAGTGGAGCAGCTGGGACTAGAAGTAGTGTCCATATGGGATACCAGCACTGTAGGCAGAGGATTAGCCTGTTGAGCCACTGCGCCAGCCCCTGGATATGCAAACTGAATGGCTGCATGCTTATTGAGTATAAATGAGCATTTCCAATGCATGCTTTCCATAGCTGCAGCACTTCCCTTCAAAGGAAATAAATTTATTGAATTGTTGTGACGAGACCCAAGTGAACAGGACTTAGGCAAATAGGATGAAGACACAATGAGGTATGGGCCACACTGCTCAGCCCGGCTCAGTCACAGTCTGGTGGCTGCCCTTGGGGTGCCCGTGTCTGCTTCTGGTACCCAGTCCTGCCTCTGCTTCTGGGCCACTCCCTTCCACTCTGCCCGAGAGACAGCTCATGATGGGCCACAATCAGGGGTTCCTGCCACCCATCATGTGGGAGACCCAGATGAAGTTCCTGGATCCTGGTTGCAGCCTGGCTCAGCCCTGACTGCTCTGGGCATTTATTTGAGGAATGAATCAGCACAGGAAAGATTTTTCTGTCACTTTGCCCCTAAGTCAAGGAACACTTTCAATGTGTATGGGCTGAAGTGTTTCCAGGGAAACTACTGATATCCACCTTGCTCTGAAATAAATACACCCCAAGAACGAAACACATGGAGGAAAGAGGGGGCTATGATGGAGTGTTGGGTACCCAATAAAGCCACCAAAGCAAAATGTTCCTCCAAAAGTCGGGTGGTATATCCATGGGACTGACACCGCAAGGACTTTCAACTTATGTAGATGAAAATGTTCATGTTGGGGAAAAATATAAGTTGTCCTATACAATAAAGACATGAATAAATAGAGTCTTGGGGCCAACATTGTGGCTTAACCAGTTAAGCTACCATCTCCAACGTTGCATCCCCTGTGGGCACCGGTTTGATTCCCGGCTGCTCCACTTCTGATCCAGCTCCCTGCTAACATATCTGGCCAAGCAGCAGAAGCTGGTCTGAGTCCTGGGGACCCTGCTACCGACAAGGGAGAGCTGGAGGAAGCCCCTGGCTCCTGGCTTCAGCCTGGCCCAGGTCCAGCTGTTGTGACCATTTGGAGAGTGAACCAATAGATGGGCGATCTCTCTAACATTCAACCTCTCACCTAAGTAAAATAAATCTTAAAAAACAAACAAACAACAAACAACAACAACAACAAATAGAGCCTCGATGACTGGCAGAAATCTACTGAATTATTTCCTTTATGTGCTCATATAAAAGAGAGCTTGTACGTTTACCACAAAACTATCATAGACAAAAACCGCACAAGTGATCCATTGATAAAATGGGCATTTATTTAGATGGCACAAAGCCACCAAGAAACTCCCTGAGTCCAGCTTGGGAGTGGGAGATACGCTGCCCGGCACAAAGTCTGGCACTTCCCTTTCCCCCACAGGGGAGCCCGTGACGGGAGCGCAGGGACCAGGGACCCTGGAGCCAGAAGCACAGGCATGTGTAACCCGCCCTCCTGCTCCCAGCGTGTCCCTTATCCCCACTTCACATCTATCCACATCAGGAGAGGCGGCAGAAGAAGTTGTGCACTGGCAAGGCCAGGAGCCCCGACAGTGAGATCCCCAAGGTGTCAGAGATGCAGGCGGCGGCCATGGCGAACTCACGATGCTTATCACTGGTCTGGGAAAAGCAAAGCGCTCAGGTAAAGGATGCCTCGGGCCTCAGAGAGGTATACCCCGGAACTGTGCCAGGCACCGTCCTCGCCCCGCCCCCAGCAGCCGCTAACCTCCAAGGCAATGTTGTGGAAGGTGTTGACGTAGGCTGCGCCTCCCAGGAGCCCCTCATACAGAATGATCAGAAAGACGAGGTAGATGCTTGGCAGGAAGCCCAGCCAGATGTCTGCCAGCAGCATGGCCATGTTGAGGCACTGTGGACACAGTCAAGGCAGGGGAGGGCTGAGCCTGGAGTCACAGCGGGATGGGACAGCCCATCCTGTGGCCCCGAGAGATGCTGCAGAGCTAGCAAGCTCCACCAGGCCCTGGGAGCTACTGTAGGTTTCTCTCCATGACCTCCCCCCTCGGCCCAGTTCCCTGCAGACCTCTGCCCCCTGTCATTCCCCCTTCTCCTTAATTGGGAGCCCTCTTGGTCATCAATCAGTTTAGTCCATACCTGCCATCTCCCTGAGAGTCTCAAAGGGATGCAATTTTTCTCTCCTCTCCCCACCCAACCTTGGGAGCTCTACTATCCCAACCCTTTGTGTAATGTGAGGCCACACTGGCGGTTCACACTCACTCTTCAGGTAGAGGCTCTAGTGACAAATGTGCTATGCAGTACCTCCCCGGCCCCCCCCCCCCCGCGACCTCACCCCCCTTCAGGTCCCAATTCAGTCTGTCTCAGGTGGGTTCAGACACCTGTACAACAGAGCAGCCCCAGGGTAACAGGGGCAACGCCTTGCATCCTCCAGGCTGTGCATTAGGTGATTCCGTAAATCTAAGCCCTGACTCCAGTTCCAGGAGACAGCCTTGGGGACAACTCTAGGTAAAGCTGGCAGGATCTAGAAGACTCCTGAGTGAGGAGCTGCTGACCCAGTAAATTGGAACTTGATGGATACAAGCCTCAGGCCAGCGGTGAGGGGACAACATCCAGGAAATTATTAGGTCTGGCCCTGCCAAGGCAACCACAGGCAGGACTCGAAATTCAACAAATGTATAGCAAGCTGATTTTTGAGCAGATAGTTTTATATCGCCAGTGAATCGTGTTATACATCTCCAAATGGCCCTTGGCAGGGAAAAAAAAAATACAGGTTCTGCACCCATAGCTTATACAAATTTAGGAAGATGGTTGGTGGCTTTGGCTATAAGCAACACGGAATGTGGTGGGGGCCTTGGGCTGGCAGAACTGAATTGCTGAGGCCAAAAGGCTTTCTTCTAACAGTGGAAAGTTTAACCGTTCCGTTCCTGGAGGTGGTCGACTTGTGACCTTGAACCCAGGAATGTTGGTCGTGGGAAACTCTTTTGGACAGACTGCTATATGCTGAGAGCTGCAGGCTGCTCCTGCTGGGCCATGGCTAGGTCAATTTGCTCTCTGGCAATTACTGAGATAAACGGCCCACTGGTCACAATGCCAGTGACTGCTGTATTTTACAGTTACCTTTTAAAGGGGACTTTGAAATCCTATTTGCTCCACGTAGGTGCAAATAATCCTCACAGAGGGCTCCTAGAGGTGGGCTTTAGGCCTGGCATTTGAGACACTAGTCGGACACCTGCCTCCTCCCATGGGGGCGCCAGGGCTCAAGTTCTGGCTCTGACTCCTGGTTCCAGGTTCCTGCTAACACAGACCCCAGGAGGCAGCAGGTGATGCTTTAAGTTCATTGTGTCTCTATCAACCAGGTGGGGGACCTGGATGGAGTCTCCGACTCCTGGCTTCTACCTGGCCCAGATCCAATGACTGTGGGCATTCAGGGAGTGTGCCAGTCGCCAGGAGTTCTCTGCCTCTCAAATGCTACTACTCTTATTTATATGAATAATAATAATGCTAATGATTTAAAACTGGCCTGAGACCCAGATGGTGGATCCACCTGACGTGTGGATGAGACACAGAGGTTCAGGGAGGATCGGAGACCCGCCCCGAGTCACACAGCCAGCCACTGGGGACAGAAGCTGGGGTCTGCCCCTGGGGGTCGCCTGGCTCCTGAGGCCACACACTGTAACAGGAATCGCTCCCTCTCTCCTGTCCCTCCGCCCACCCCCCCACCCCTGACCCCAGGTGCTTCTAAATGATAAAACTCTTCCAGCAGGGCCTGGGGCAGAGGCTGGGAGCCCACAGCCGAGGGAGAAGCAGCATTTGGGTACCTGCAGCATGGCCAGGGCCCAAGTGAAGCGGATGCGGCAGCAGCGGAGAGAAGAGCGGGAGGCGAACACTCCAGCCTGGTACAGCATCTGGTACCTGGGTTGGGGTGGGGAGCAGGGGACACTCTTTTTTGCGGGGAAGAGGGGGACACACAGTCTGCCCAGAGACTGCTCCATAAGAGACAGCCCCTCCCAGCTCCCTACCTGAACACCACCCCACCCATGCCTCCTCCTCCTCTCACCAACGGTACTGCTGGGTATGGGTCAGGTGTGTGTTCCGGAAGAAGAGCAGTTCAAACTGCAGCCAAAGCAAGTCAGGGGACACAGGTGCGACAGGGTGAGAGTACACTCCGGCCCTCCAGCCCCTTCTCCTTGCACCACTGCCGCTGCCACAGCCCTCCCTGTGACCCGTGCACTTACAAGCCCCTGGTTGATGAAATACTCGGCAAAATAGACCAGCACCAGCGGGATGATGTAATACAGCAGGCCCTAAGAGGGACAGCAGGGTGAGCGGACGGCAGGCCACACGCACCCCTCCTCTGTGGCTCCGCCCCATGGCACGCGCCACGGCCACCATCAAACCTTGAATACAGTCCACTTTTCCTGGCAGGACAGGTTCCAGCTGGAGGCTGCGAAGGAACAGTGGGAGAAGGGTACAGCTGACTTGGCAATAACTCGGGGACACGCAGAGTGGGTCTACTGGATCCTCCCACACTACACAATGTTGCATTTGATCGATATTTAAGTATCTGTGTCCACCTCATGATAGCTCCAGGTGCCAGGTGGCCACAGTGGTCCAGCTCCATGCTAGGAACCTGGAGTTTCATTTGGGTTTCCCATGTGGATGGCAGGGACCCACGTATTCAGGCTGCTTTGCTCAGGTATGTTAGTACGAGCTGGATGGGAAGTGGAGAAGCTGGGAAACAAACCAGTGCCAATATAGGATGCAAGAAGTAGCTTTTCCCACCAGACCACAGCACTGCTCCCTCCCATCCCCTGCCACTCCATTTGTTTCCAGAACATCTGAAGCCTTAGCACTTGCTCTTGCCTTCATCTGGAACCTGTTTACTCAAGTTAGTCAGGTCCTGGTTAGTCAAGTTCCAGCCCACATTTCACCTCTTCAGACACCTCTTCTGGAGGTAGGTGTTGTGGTACAGTGGGTTAAGCTGCAGCTTGGGAAGTCTGTCCTGCATCAGAGGGCTGGTTTGAGTCCCAGTTGCTCTGCTTCTAATTTAGCTTCTGTTAATGCCTGGCCAGGGATCAAATGATGGCTTAACCCCATGAGTTCCTGAAACCACATGGGAGACTCAGATGCAACTCCTAACTCCTGGCTTTGACCTGGCCCAGCTTTGGCTATTGTGTCCATGTGGACAGTGACTCAGTGCATGGAAGATCTATGTGTGTATCGCTCAGCCTTTCAAGTACATAAATAAATAAATACAAAGCAGAACCCCTCCCTTGTTCCAGTCCATTGTTGTCACTTTTGGGCCACAGCACTAGCTTATGTTCTTTCCAGCACTGTAACGGCTTTGTTCACTAGCAACACCTTGACCCTGGTCCCCTTCATGTGTAACGACTGACCTCTGTCTCCTACCTGGCTTTGCCTCTGGGACCTCGGGGCTTAACAGGGGCTGCCGCGTTGCTGGATCGGCTTCTGCTTCCCCTCCAGGATCTTGGGGCTCAGGGGCCGTGAGCAGTAAGAAATAGCTGGGGGTGAGCAGAACAAAGGCAGAAGTCAGAGAACCTGCTTGGCTGGAAAGGCCCCAAGCCACCGATGCCACGCCCCAAGAAACCACACCCACAAGGCCACGCCCCAAAGGCCACACCCTCCTCCTTCCAGCTCTGCCTCCAAGGTGTGCAGGAACAGTTTTCCTGACCCTGGTTCTGAATCCCCCCTCCTCTTCCTGGCCCCAGGGTGGCTCACCTGGCCAGCAGGAGGGCAGGTATACCCAGCATAGATAGCAGGGTGTTCTGTGGGGAGAGGCCTGCCTGGGTGAGGCCCAGATAGGACAGGGCACCGAGCAGCCCTGCACCCCCAGTTCCCGAGGACCACCAGGAGATCACAGCCCTGTTAGGGGGCACACAGGAGCAGTCAGGAGGACCAGAGCAGTAGTCCCCCTCCTCCCCACCTCGGCCCTGCTCTGCTGCTGACCTGGGGTAGATGGCAGTGAGGGACAGGAAGGTGACCTCTCCTAGACCTGATGAGATGCTGGCCAAGACCACACCTAGCAAGAGGACAAACAGGGAGGTGAGGGTGAGGTTGGCCAAACTGAGCCTCCCCAGGGCAGCCCGGTTCCCTAAGGCAGGCTGAGCTTGACCTCCTCTGCTAAGATCAGCTCCCATGGAATAAAAGACTGGTGGGTTCCAGACTGGAGGCCACGAGTCAACTCCCTCCTCCACCCACCTGGCAGAGAGCTGTGGCTCCATCCACTTAGAACGACAGCTTATCCTCGCCATCCCCTCCACCCCAATGACCCACCTTCCTGTCCACGAAGCTTGTCCGTTTCCTCCACCCAAAACCCTTTCCCCCTTGGGACACTTCTAGCTGATGCTAAGGGTTCCGGCCACAGTACCTTCCCCAGCAGTGAAAGGTGACCCACGTATGCGCTCTCTCACACCTGACACGCAGCTGCGCACTCACCGCACAGGCTGATCCCCACAGAGTCAGAAAAGGCCACGAGGAGGAAGCTTCCAGCAGCACACAGCCCGCTGACCAGAACCCGAGGGCTGCAAGGGAGAAGGAGGTGGAGAGAAGGGGACAGTGAGCCCCTGCTCCCAGCTCTGCAGCCTCCCCTCTACCTGCTGTACCCCTACCACCTCACCCCCCCACCTGCTGTACCCCTACCACCTCACCCCTCCACCTGCTGTACCCCTACCACCTCACCCCTCCACCAGCTGTACCCCTACCACATCACACCCCACCTGCTGTACCCCTACCACCTCACCCCTCCACCTGCTGTACCCCTACCACCTCACCCCCCATCTGCTGTGCCCCTACCACCTCACCCCATCTGCTATGCCCCCTGTCCTACCCCCTCCTGCCTACTGTCCTCCCCCACCACACTCCCGCCCTGACCTGTAGGGCAGCAGATGGAGCCCAAGAGGAGCCAGCAGTTTGATGACGAGGGTGGGGAGAATGTCTGCCAGCAGGACGGCCTGGGACAGGGCAAAGAGTGAGAGACCACCCCGCCCCCAGCTCTGGCCAGGAAGAAAGGGCTCCCTCCTAGATTGGCAACCTCAGGGATGCCCAAGAGTCTCCTCCGGGCGCAGGAGAGGAGTGGGGTGGGCACTCACAGCTGTGGAGACAGGGTTGCAGTCGAAGCGAGAGGAGTTGTTGTGGGGAGTGGGTGCTGGCCCTGGGTCCACCTGGTGGGAGAGACAAACTTGTCACCCAGGAAGGCAGATGGAAGGGGTAGACCAGTGTGTCAGCTCTGTGCTAACTTAAAGGATGGTTGGGGTCATCTGTGCCAACCTCTTACAAATAGTTTCTCTAAAGGGCACTACGGAGGTGGGTCTAAGTGTCTCTGACCCACAGCCGGCAGACGGAAGGTGGCCCTGCCAAGGCCAGACCATGTGTGGCTAATTCGTTCAAGAGCTTTCAGACAAACACTGGTTGTACCAGAGGATCTGATCCTGGGACAATCTACCTTGTTGGACCAGCTCAGCACAGACAAGCGATTCTCCTCTGAGGGCAGTGTCACCCCTGCCCCCACCTTCACCCTCACCCTGGGGACATCCTTGGTACCAGTGACCTGGGTGGGCTATTGGCATAGAGAAGGTAGACAGCAGGACATGATACTGATGAACAGCCTGCAAACGTCTGGGAACAGCCCTGCCCCCCAGTATCCGTCCCGGCAACCCATGGGCCCATGCAGCCTCCCCCAGTGCAGAGCAGGTGCAGGCTCAGGGGTTTTGCCATAGAGGATCACCCTGCCCAATCATAGACACTCGCCTGGCACCCTTTGGTCTTATAAAGATCCCTCTAGTTCTGAGGGCCTGGGAAGATTGCAAACTTAGTCCCCTTTTCCCATTCTTCCGTGATTCATTTCCGAAGTATTTCAAGAAGCTTCTGCCCCAGGGGGGGGGAGCCTTCACCCGCCTGTGGGGACCGTGCCCCGGGCTGGCGGTGGAGAGGGGTTCGCTTACATGGCTCTGGTTCCCAGGCACCGTGTCGTGATGGAGGATGTCATAGGCAGCACTGAGCATCACCACGTAGGAGAAGTTGTTGCAAAGGCCCAGGATCCTGGGATGAGCACATGGAGCTCAGCTGCCCTCTGGGCCAAGGAGCCAGCCACAGTCTCTCCCACAGCACCCTCCATTCCCCTCCCTGTCACCAAACCCCACCAGGGAGGGCTGGCTGAAGAGCAGGCGGGCGGATACCAGATGGGGGTTCCCTGCTCATCTCTAAGCCTCACCCTGAAAGTCATCCTTAGCCCCTCACTCCTCAGAGCTGGCCCCCCATTCAGTTCAGGGTCTCCCTCATCCACGATGCAGTGTGGCTACAGAGCTGGACACCCAAAGGACTGCATCCAGGTCCCTTGTTTGCTGCTTCCTCCTCTAGTGGCCTCAGTCTACTTGTGGACAAGATGGAGAAACCGGGGCTGGCACTGTGGCATAGTACATTAAGCCTCTGCCTGCAGGACCAGCATTCCAAATGGGCGTCAGTTCAACTCCCAGCTACTCCAATTTGTGACCCAGCACCCTGTTTGTGGCCTATAAAAGCAGAAGAGGATGGCTCAAGTATTTGAGCTCCTATACCACATCAGAGACCCAGAAGCAGCTCCTGGTTCCTGATCCAGACCTCACTGTTGTAGCCATCTGGGGAGTGAACCAGTGGATAGAAGATCGGTCTCTCTCTCTCTCTCTCTCTCTCTCTCTCTCTCTCTCTCTCTCCCCAACTTTGCCTTTCAAATAATTAAATCTTTTTTTTTTTCATAAGGCAATGCCAAAGCCTTTCTCATGACTCTCCTCTCCTGGAGCTGCACATAGCGCATAGCCCAGTGTCACACTGAGGCTGGCTAAGCATCCCCAATCACGGTCCTAGGAAGTGACACTACAGCTCTTCCCCTTTCACTGCTGATGAAACAGGCTCAAGGGCCATCAGTCGCTCTCATGAGACACTGAAGAATCCACTTCCAACTCCCGACTTCTTCCTTGTCTGGGTTAATGCTAGCTGTATTTTCCAAGGCTGTGCATTGAAATCTTTTTTTTTTTTTTTTAATTACAGTCAGATATACAGAGAGGAGGAGAGAGAGGAAGATCTTCCATCCAATGATTCACTCCCCAAGTGAGCGCAACGGCTGTTGCTGTGCTGATCCAAAGTCAGGAGCCAGGAACTTCCTCCAGGTCTCCCCCGCGGGTGCAGAGTGTCCTAAACTGCTTTTCCAGGCCACAAGCAGGAAGCTGGATGGGAAGCAGAGCTTCCAGGATTAGAACTGGCGCCCATATGGGATCCCGGTGCGTTCAAGGTGAGGACTTTAGCTGCTAGGCCACCGCGCTGGGCCCCACATTGAAATTTTTATTGAAAATTGAAATTGAAATTTGTATTGAAAATTGAAATTGAAAGATTTAGGAAATCTTTCTCTAACAGTTTCAATACCAATGCAATTATTTTAAACATGCATCAGGGAGAAACTGTTTTTTTTCCATTTGGATTTAAAAAGTCGTCTGTCTTTAGGGGTTGGTAAAGCCATTGCCTACTCGACTTCAGCTCTCTGCTAATGCGCCTGGGAGACCAGCAGGGACATGGCCCAAGTGCTTGGGCCCCTGTACCCACATGGGAGACCTGGATGAAGCTCCTGGCTTTGGCCTGGCCCAGCCCTGGAGGTTGTGGCCATCTGGGGGAGTGCATCAGTGAATGAAAGCTCTCCCTCTGTCTTTCTCTCCCTGTCTCTGTAACACTTTCAAATAAGTAAATAATCTTTAAAGACAGTTTTCTTTAAAAAAAAAAAAAAAGTGCATTCAAGAATTTTACAGCTGAACTGCTTGTAGGAAAAATACGCCATTGGTAAACTTCCAGATGGCAGGCTGAAAGGTGATAAGTAAATAAATGAAGTTTGGAAAAGGGCTGGCAGGTGCCTCGGGGCAAACCGATGGCTTCAGTCACTGTGCACTCAGCTCCTGTGCGCCGCTCCCTGCTGCTCCAGCACCCCCTTCTCCTCCCATCCTCCCTTCCTCACACCCCACTTTTGCTAACCCCAGGGGTCGCTCACCAGAAGCCCACTGCGTTCCTCCAGTGGGCGCTCTGATTGCCCGACCGAGAGGCCCGGAGCTCCGGGACGGTCTCTTCTTCCCCTGCCAGGGAGAGAAGGTGGCCTGAGGCCCACGCCCCTGTCTAGTGCACGACTCGTCCCCCGACCCTGTAGGTCCTCCCAAACCCCACCATCAGGTGCGTCGAGGGGCACCAATGGGCACTCCCCGAGGACCGGGCCAGAACACTCACCCTGGGAATCTGTCAGGCACTGTCGCGAGTCCCTGCGGCCGTCCATGGCGTCCAGCGCGGCTCCCCGAGGGGCCCCAGGTCAGCAAGGAGTCGGAATTGGCCCCCAACAGGAGGGTGAGGGTCTGTGACAGGTGAGCAGGTTCAACGCCCCGTGGCCATCCTACCTCCGGCTTGTCTGCTGCACTCGCGCCCCGCGATCCATCAGGCTGGTTCAGGACTAAGTCTCGAACCCTCCCACACCCCCGCCACGTTCCCGCCCATCCGACCTGCCCCCGCCCTGGAGAACAGGGCGTCCCCGGACCTGTACCTTTAAGAGCAAACAAGCGTTCCTCGCCGCGGAGCAGCAGGTTGCCGGGTCACGTGAGAGAGCGCGCGGATTCCCCATCACGTGCTCTAAGGTCCTCCCTACTTCCGGCTCCTCGGCCTGTCTTTGCCTGGAAGGAGAGGCCTGGAACCCCAGATTTTAAACTAGAACCGGTAGGATCGGCAAATAAAGCCATGCTGATAGATTGGCTGCACGCAAGACCTTGACGTGATCCTGCCAGCACTTATCATGGCTGCAGTCGGCTTCAGCTCCTCTCCCACAACCTTCTGTTGCCAGAAAGAAATATGGTCACCTGCCCTTAGCTCTCTGGCGCCCCCTCTCTTTCTCTCTTTATTCGGCTCTTCCTTTCTCTCTTCCTTCTTTTCTTCTCTTATTCTTCTGTTTTTGTTAACCAGACTGACCAGGCTCACAGCAGAGTCACTTTTTTCCACTCTTATAGGTTGCTTTCAGTTGCTTTAGAAACCTAAAATAACTACAACACTCTCTTAAGCAGATTTCATCAAGAAAAAGAGATGATCTTTTCCAATTTTTCCTAAAACCAAAAAATGTTATGGAAGTCGTCCAACCCCTGTTTTTCCAGATAATAAAATCAAGACACATGCAAAATGATTGCAGAGCCTACAAAGTTAGCCATAAGAAATACAACAGGATTCTTGATGCTACTCCACCACACATGCCTGGACCAGATCTCTCCAGGCCTGAGAACATCGTGTGACCTCACCCAAGGCCACCTCACAGGGTTCCAAATATAGGAAGTTGTGCTCTTACCTTCTTCTAGTGGTCTGTCAGCGCCCTGAATTCTCCCCACATCCTTCCCCTCTGCTGAGTTCTGCTCTGGCTTGACAACCTGGGCTCACTGTTCCCGTCCTGCCTTCCACCAGGTCTTCATGCTGCTGTTTGAGTTGTGCCCTCTGGAGCGCAGTATCCTGCTCCCCAGACAGACCCCTAGGAACTGGGCAGCCTTGCATACCTGGCCTCTGCCCTCCAGGAACTCATGGTAGAGAGGGCAGTTGACATAGACAACCACAGCACAGAGTTCAGCCCAGTTCTCTTTTGCAAGAATAACCATAAAAGAGGGCATGGGTATGTGAGCCACCAATCCACCCCCTCTGTCCTCTTGGGGAAGGATTCAATATGTGGAAATGAGAAGCCAAACCTGCTGCCAGCCCCCTCCTCACCCCTACTCCTAAGGCAAAACAGGAACTGCAAACCCCAGCTTCCGCTCACGGAGTGGCTGTGGCTGGGGGACTCGGAAATGGCTTAAGTGTGGCTACAAGACCTGAGTCAGCCGAGGGACAGTGTGGCCACCTGTCTTCTCCCCGCCCCTGCCCAGTCCTGAGGTCTCCTGCTTCCCTTGCCTGCCCCCCACCCCCTTCCCCGGCTCTTCAGTGCCCAGTGCACCCCTGAGCCTCTTGGGACGTGCACAGCTATTCACTCCCAGACCTGGGTAGCGTAGGCTGATGTGGGTGTGGGGGAAGGTGGGCAGGGCCCAGGGTGGGGATGTGTCAGGGAGAGAGGCAGAGGAAGAGGAAGTGTCCTGGGTCCTGGGCTGTGTTGGTGGGTGGGGCCGGTCATTATCAGCTTTCTGGACACCGAGAGGAGACAGCATGGATTTGCTCCGGCTCTACCTCCCCGGGCTGCACCAAGCCTTGAGGGGGGCACTGGTGAGAAGGGCCCAAGACTTTCAACAACCCCCCCCTCCTCTCCCCTCCACTTTCTTCCCTTTGGGGCTCTTTGATTCCAGACCTCTTTTCCCAGAGATGAGATAGCCACCTTGCCCAGCCTACCTGCCCTCCAGGCCACATCTGGAGCCCTTTCTTGTCCCCACTACACCTGTGTTCCCTACCCCAGCCCTCCTTCCTGCCTCCCCCTGCTCCCCTGGCTCAGGGCATGCAGGTTTGAAAGGGGGCTGGGCCTCTCCTTAATGCCTCTGCCCCATCCCTTGTCTTCCAGGAGTCCCTCAGCACCTTCGTCTCCTACCTCATGGGAGATGAGGTTCCCACCGTAGAGAGGGGGGCACGGGCAGCTGAGGAGCTGGGGGAGGGGGTAGAGGAGGAAGCCCAGGAAGCGCTGGAGGGCCTTGAGGGTGGCCCGGACGGGCATGAAGAGGCTAGCAGATGCCAGGAGGGGAACTCTGCTGAGACACAAACCAGGGGGTGGGGCGAAGGCGGCTCCCAGACAGACAAGCAGACCATGGGAGCCTGGGAGGCGGTACAGGTTGCCAGGTGCCAGGAGCTGAGTGCCCCCTCGGGGGATGTGCCATCTGGGATAGGGCAGGGGGCTCACTGGGACAGCAGCAGCCAAGTCCAGCAGAGGCAGGAGCCTGGTGGACAGGAAGTGGACAGAGAGGACACACTGAGGACCTGGGACCAGGAGGAGGGTGAAGAGGAAAAAATCAGGACAGGAGAGGCAGGGATGGCCAGAGGGGTGGAGCAGGAGTGGACCTGGCACGGAACGCCTGAGGGGCAGGTTGGTGCCAGTGGCAGCAGGCAGGAGGGGACAGGAGGTGGTGGCCAGACAGGACAGGAGGTCAAGGAGGCGGTTGCTGAGGAAACAGAAGAGCCTGTTGCCAATAAGGCTGGGAGGGAAGAAGAGGGGGTGGTAGTGGGGCGTGGCGGTGCAGATACAGGGTCACAGGGTTCAGGGGCAGAGCCTGGGCACTGGGAGGCCTTGGGCAGGGAGCAGGGCGGGACAGTCTCTGGCTGGGAGGAGGCCTGTACAACCTCAGCCAACGAGGTGAAGGAGGAGAGAAAGGAGGAGGTGAGAGAGGAGGAGAAGGTGAGGAAGGAGGAGGCCTGGACAGGCCCCAGTAGGGAGCAAACTGAGCAGCCCAGAGTCAGGGAGCCAGAGAATGGGCCAGTCCTGGGAGAAGGGACCCCAGAAGGACCTGGGAGCAGCTGGGTCTTGGAGGAAGAGGAGGAAGAGAGGAAGGAAGAGGAGGAAGAGAAGGTGAGGAAGGAGGAGGCCTGGACAGCCCCCAGTAGGGAGCAAACTGAGCAGCCCAGAGTCAGGGAGCCAGAGAATGGGCCAGTCCTGGGAGAAGGGACCCCAGAAGGACCTGGGAGCAGCTGGGTCTTGGAGGAAGAGGAGGAAGAGAGGAAGGAAGAGGAGGAAGAGAAGGTGAGGAAGGAGGAGGCCTGGACAGCCCCCAGTAGGGAGCAAACTGAGCAGCCCAGAGTCAGGGAGCCAGAGAATGGGCCAGTCCTGGGAGAAGGGACCCCAGAAGGACCTGGGAGCAGCTGGGTCTTGGAGGAAGAGGAGGAAGAGAGGAAGGAAGAGGAGGAAGAGAAGGTGAGGAAGGAGGAGGCCTGGACAGCCCCCAGTAGGGAGCAAACTGAGCAGCCCAGAGTCAGGGAGCCAGAGAATGGGCCAGTCCTGGGAGAAGGGACCCCAGAAGGACCTGGGAGCAGCTGGGTCTTGGAGGAAGAGGAGGAAGAGAGGAAGGAAGAGGAGGAAGAGAAGGTGAGGAAGGAGGAGGCCTGGACAGCCCCCAGTAGGGAGCAAACTGAGCAGCCCAGAGTCAGGGAGCCAGAGAATGGGCCAGTCCTGGGAGAAGGGACCCCAGAAGGACCTGGGAGCAGCTGGGTCTTGGAGGAAGAGGAGGAAGAGAGGAAGGAAGAGGAGGAAGAGAAGGTGAGGAAGGAGGAGGCCTGGACAGCCCCCAGTAGGGAGCAAACTGAGCAGCCCAGAGTCAGGGAGCCAGAGAATGGGCCAGTCCTGGGAGAAGGGACCCCAGAAGGACCTGGGAGCAGCTGGGTCTTGGAGGAAGAGGAGGAAGAGAGGAAGGAAGAGGAGGAAGAGAAGGTGAGGAAGGAGGAGGCCTGGACAGCCCCCAGTAGGGAGCAAACTGAGCAGCCCAGAGTCAGGGAGCCAGAGAATGGGCCAGTCCTGGGAGAAGGGACCCCAGAAGGACCTGGGAGCAGCTGGGTCTTGGAGGAAGAGGAGGAGTGGGAGACGAGAGAAAAGAGAGCAGCTGCCCTGAGCCTTTTCCCCAAGCTGACCCAGGCCCTGGAGGCTGAGAGCCCCATGGCAGGTGCACAGGCTGCCGAGGAGGAGGAGGAGGAGGCAGCAGGTCAGGGTTCTGCGTACCACGCAGGGCAGCCTGAGAATGAGAGTGCACCGGAGAGGCAGGATGTGGAGATGAGCGCTGGTGGGGTTGGGGTGCAGGAGGCAGCTGAGATGGAGGAGGCTCAGCGGGAAGGCGATGCTGACGTAGAGGCTGCACCAGAGCCCAGGCCCTGGGAGGTGCTGGTGAGGGAGAGGAGAGAGGAGGCGCACCTTGTGAGCCGAGCAGCGTTAGGGGAGGAGGACCAGGGCCCCGCACTGACTGGAGGGGCTCAGACCCCAGCAGCGCCCCTGGAGGAAGAAGAGTTAGAACTGGGTACTCAGGAGGAGCCCCGGAGAACCACAGCTCCAAGCACAGAGGGGACAGAAGGGGACCTGGACGAATGTTCCAGGCCTGAGGTCCGGGAGGCAGATGCCTGGGAAAACCAGAGAAGGGACCCCTGGGAGGCAGAGGGAGGAGATGCAGACAGGCAGGAGTCAACCACATCAGCTCAGGTGCTGGAGTGGGAGGCCAAAAGCGCAGAAGGCAGGGAGTGGAAAAAACTAGAGGTCCCTGGTGCAGATGGAGATTGGGAGAAAGCAAAAATAGCTGGGTGTGGAGCAGGGCAGGGAGAGGCCCATAGGGTGGAGGACCAAGAAGTGGCAGGAAACCCTGAGGCAGAGGCAGGGATGGGCTGGTCACTGGGAGAGGCCAGAGAGGCGGGGGAGGGGGAGAGTGCAAGGCTGCAGCAGGAGGCAGAGGGAGCCTCCGGGCCTGGCTGGAGGCCACAGGAGGAGGTGGCTCAGAGCCTGCAAGAGGGCCTGGAGGCAAGGTGGGCCGAGGATGAAGCTGGTGGGCCAGGGAGAGGGGCTGGGCTGGCTTGGCAGGGCAGAGGGGAGGTTGTGGAGGCTGAGGCCCCAGGCCGGCTGGAGTGGGGCCTGCAGGGCTCAGCAGAGGAAGAGCTGACCTGTCAAGAGGAACACACGGAGGCTTTGGGGGCCAGGACAGATGAACAAGCAGAGGTGGGGACATTGGCTGAAGCCACAGTTGGGCTGGGTAGCCATGGCTTGGGCTCCCAGGCAGCCAGGGCAGAGGGGACCAGGGAGACCCTCGGGGACGAGTGGAGGCTTCTGGAACCAGAGGCAGGGGAAAGGCAAGACAAGGAGGGGCTGTGCAGAGTGAACCACCCGGACAGCGAGGCCCCCGGCGTCCAGGCATCCGGCGAGCAGAGGGCAGAGGCCCAAGACACAGACACAAGCAGCGTGATGGCCAACCAGGGACAAGCAGAGCCCTCAGGAGACCAGAGCAGCTGGAGTGAGGTGAGAGCTCCTGGCGGGGTGCGGGGTGTGGGGCGGGAACCGGCCACGCAGCCAGCAGTCCCCTGAGCTGTCCATCTGCTGCCCATCCGCCCCGTAGGCGCTGCTTCCCGCGTTGCATTTGGACGTTTCAGTCCCGCGGAGTCGTGCGCTCCTAGCCCGGAGCTCGTCCCAGCGGCGCTCCCGGCCCTCCTTCCGAAGGCCCCGTGACACCCAGGAGCAGGTGGAGCCGTCCAGTCCGTCCAGTCCGCAGCAGCCCAAGGAAGAGGAGGAAGAGGAGGAGGAAGAGGAGGAGAAGAAAGAACTGTCAACTCTTGCGGAGGAGAGGCGTCTCCAGTCTGAGGAACCCCCGGAACCAAGCCCCCCGGGGCCGGTTGGGACCCCGGTGCCTGCCAGGAGGCCCCTGGGACAGGGGTAAGCACAGTGTGGGAACTGCAGCCTGCGGGGTGGGGGGGTGCGGGGGGCTGGGGAATTCCAGGGATGCAGCCGTGACCTTGTCTTCTTTCTACAGGTTTGGCCTCGCACACCCAGGCATGATGCAGGAACTGCAAGCCCGCCTGGGCCGGCCAAAGCCTCAGTGACTGCCAGCTGACACCGGGGACCCCTGACCCCAAAGAAGGATAGAAAGGCTGGGCAGGAGCCTGCTCTCTGCTCTCCCATCCTCTGACCTTGAACTTAGGAGTGGGATTGATGACCTCAAGCCTCCGGTCCCCACCCTGATGACCACCCCAGCCTGTCCCAGCTGTCCAGACCAGATGACAGCGACAAAGATGATTCTCACCTCCCAGCTCTGCTCCCAGCCTCTGCACCCAAGGCCAAGTTCAGACAATTGGATGTAAAGGTGGATGTGTTGCCTGGAGCAGCCAACACAGTCACTTGACCTCAGAAGTGGTTACTGTGGCAACCGCCAGCTGTACTGGCTAGAGCTGGGGAGGATGAACCCTGAGCCCCGCCCCAAAAGGAAGGAGCTGAGAGAGGCCCAGGGAGGACACAGGGGGCCGGCCCCCCTTCTCTGAAAAGAAGCAGAGTCGGAGAGAAGATTAGAGGGCTTTATTAGGACCCAATATGGCGGTCTAACCCGAGGACAATACAATAAATAAACCATTATCTCCCTAAAAAATAAATAAATATCCAAGAAATAAATACTGGCAAGGACTGGAGGGACTGGTAGGGCCCCAGGAGCTGGTCCAAGGCAGTGAGCTGAAGTCTGTGCTGTGGGCTACTATTTCAGTCCTCCAGGTGAGGGGAGGGGCTTGAGCAGTGAACTGGGTCAGGGCTGGGGGCTGGGGGATGGGAACCCCAAAGCCTGGCCAGGGTGCCCGGCCTTGGAGAGCAGCAGCAAGTCCCGCACGGCCCGCGACAAGACCAGCTCCAACGAGTGCAGCAGCTGGTAGGTGTAGAGGAGCTGGGGCCAGGCCACCTGGGCCGGGCCCTGGACAGAGCCACTTGGAGCCGCTGGGAGGTGCCCCTTACCCTCCTCCCACTCATCTTGGTCAGAGAGGTTGAATCCTGCAGCCAGCACCTGTGGGAGAAGTCCAGGGGTCAGCCAGGCTGAGAACCTCACCATATCCTCCCGGCATATTCAGGGGGATGTCCATGAAGTTCATGGAAAACTAAAAGGAACACATCAGTTTATTCAAGCGCAAAAAAATAACTGGGAGAGGGCAGCATTGTAGCTGCCACTTGAGATGCCAGCATCGCATATTGGAGCGTCGGTTCAAGTCCCAGCTGCTCCTTTTCCAACCCAGCTTCCTGCTAATGCACCTTAGGAAGGCAACAGCAGATGATTCAAGTACTTGGGTTCCTGCCACCCACGTGGGAGACCCAAATAGAATTCTGGGTGCTTGGCTTTGTCCAGCCCCCAGCTGTTTCAGCCATTTGGGGAGTGACCCAGCAAATAATTCTCTCTGTCTCTCCCTCTTTCTCTATCACTTTGCCTTTCAAAAAATAATAATCTTTTTTAAAATTGGCAAAAGCCATGTATACAACGGATCTTCAAAAAGTTGATGAAAATTTGTAATATGAAAAATTATGCATGGACTTCAAATTTTTCAGCACCAACATAAGCTTATCTTTTCATTCTTTTCCATGAACTTTTGGAAGCCCTCTCATGGTAACTCCTAATGACAGTCTGTGCCCACAGCACCAGGGTTTCCTTGGACAATGCCTGTTTTGGCTCTCTGTCACATGGCCATCTAACATGTCCTGCGTGACTTTTTGCATCGGGAAAATGGAAGCTGTGAAGCAAGGTGTCCTGAGCTGGGCCCCTCCTGCCGGAGTGTCCTTGGGGTGGGGGCGGGGTAGGGTCCAGGCGGTTCCTCTCCGCTCCTCAGGGCTGGCCTGGGAGCACAACGGAGACCCAGGGATGACCTAACTGGCTTTCATATGGGTTGCATTTTCTATTCCCTTTCCACTGAAGGTGAACTTTCTGTTTCCCAGGAGAGATTCAGGAAGGTCTATGATGTCAGAGAATCAGAGGGAGGAAAGTGGATGGTGTCCCTTGGGGATGCTGACCTTCCCCAACCCCCAACCATTGCTGTCCTAGAGGCCCCAGAGCAGCTGTCCCATTGAGGACCAACTGGTGGCCTAGACAAGCCAGAAAGGGTCTGATGCAGCTGTATACACGTGCACACACACATTTGTACACCCCCATGTCACCTGTGCTCTCACACTCATCCACTGTCACACCTGCACTCACCCCCTCTCACACTTGCACACTCACTCTCATACTATTACACCTGCATACTCTCACACACCCATCAACCTCACACCTGTATACACAGGTGTTCTGTCCCTCACACTGTCATCCACTCAAATGCTCACACATAGAGTACAGGATTTGGAGCAACTCTCCAGGCCTCCTTGCTCTGTGGGCAGAGGGCATTCTGGAAGGGTGACTGGCTTTGCAGGTGGGTGGGTGGGAATCTCCCAGGAAGCCTTACCTGGAAGTGAAGATGCCGCTGGAGGTCCCGGAGATCCAGCCTGATGGCCCACAGTTGCATCCTCTCTGAGCTGCTCCAGCCTGCCTGGCTCCCCAGCCCTCCCAGCAGGGCATGGAAGGGCCGCAGGGTCGTGGACAGGAAGCAGAGTCGTTCTGAATCCTGTTGCAGGGGCAGGAGAGACCCAGGGGCCAGAGTGACCGGGTCAAGCCCTCACCTGGCACCCAGGCACCTCATTTGCAGCTCTTCCCCTGGCCTGTGCTCACCTCCCTCCACACCTCCTCTGTCTTTTTCTATCTGCTCTCCTCCTCTGATCTCTGACCCAGCCTGTCTGCTGGCATCTCTACCATCCATATTTCCTCCTCTGTCCGCTCTCCACCGTCCAGTTACATCCTCGCCTCCTCCACTTCTAGCTCCCTCCCACCTCTCCCCATGCCATCTGTCTCCAACACTGACCCTGTCCCCTGCCCTCTTCTATATCTATTCTCACCCTGAATCTCAGCCCCTGTACTTCTCCAACCCAGGCCTGTTCCATGGCCACCCCTTGCCACGCCCTGCCTCCCTCCTGCTTTTTTTCCCCCAGTTCCATCTCCCTCTGCCAGCTTCAGGTTCATGTCCAGTGATATCTTCAGCCTCGGCTGGAATCTGTCTTTAAATCCACCCAAGCTCTACGCTCCCCGGCCAGCTTCATCTCCTTGTGCCCCATTCTACCTCATCCCTCACTCACAGACAAGTGGTGCCAGGTCTGGAAGGTCAAGGACACATTGGGGAGCTGCTTCCCTAGGGGCAGGAGGTCCAAGTTCACCCCCGGCAGGTGAGCTTCAGCCTGCGGGGCGAGGTCTGTCAGTGGAACGGGGCAGAGGGGGTCGCAGCTCAGCCACCTCCACCACCCCCTCCCCCCACCCTCCTGGCCGCTGCTGCAATCAGGGAGACTCACAAAGCGGTGGGCTTGGCCTCGAACCTCAGACAGCAGCTTCCTGGCAAGATGCAGGCTGAGCGCGAACTCCCTGCTCAGCTCCTGCAGACTCTTCGGAGGCCTCGGTAATCCCCAGACGCCGGCTCGCGCCAGGAGCAAGGACAGTAACACCAGGCTGAGCCCTGGGGAGACAGGGTGGGCAGAAAGCTGGATGGAGGCACACACAGGAGGAGAACAATCTCGCGTCCTTACGGAGGCTGCCCAGCACGCGAGCCCTGTGAGGACAGCTTCACTGGTGATGAGCAGATTAAAGGAAGGACCCTTGCTAACTCCCTGGACTAACTGCCTCTGTTCAGTGAACAACCTGCACAACCATATATGGCATCCCACTCCATCTTTTGAAAATAAACAGAATGAGGGCCTAATGGCATGGCCTAGCAGCTAAAGTCCTTGCCTTGAACGCGCCAGGTTGGGTCAGCGCCGGGATCCCATATGAGTGCTGGTTCTGATCCTGGCAGCTCCACTTCCCATCCAGCTCCCTGCTTGTGGCCTGGAGAGGCAGTCAAGGACGGCCCAAAAATCCTTGGGACCCTGCACCCGCGTGGGAGACCTGGAAGAGGTTCCTGGATCCTGGCTTCGGAGCGACGCAGCAACAGCCATTGCGGCTACTTGGGGAGTGAATCATCGGATGGATGATCTTTCTCTCTGTCTCTCCTCCTCTCTGTATATCTGACTTTCCAAAAAAAAAAAAAAAAAACTTAAAAAAAATAAATCTTTTTTTTTTAAAAAAAGAAAGAAAATAAACAGAATGAGGTTGACCTGTCCTTGGAGCCAGCTGGCTCAAGGGTCGGGGAGCCAGGCCTGCAGTCTAAATGCATCAGGATGCATTCCTGTGTCCCTACATTCCTGGGGTTCAGCCAGGCAGCTCCAATGGTTACACAGACCTTGATGGCCCACAGGGGTCCAGGCTGGCAAGGCCAGAGGCTCCAAGCCAGGGCGTGAGAACAGAAGGGTCCAATCTACCCCTCCCACCTGGGGTGGGTCACTGTGCAGTGCAGTCTGCCTGGGGCGTGTGTGTGTGTGTGTGTGTGTGTGTGTGTGTGTGTGTGTGTGTTGGGGGTGGGGTAAGATAGGAGGTTACCAAGCAGGGAGGGAGGCAGGTGCACTGCTTCCCATGCTGGTCTCCCTTGAGCCACCTCTGCTCCCTGATCCTCAGGCTCCCATCTGTAGATTGTGGAGGGGTCAGAGCAGGACGCTTTGGAGGGTGCTCCTGCCTTGTGTTTTCCTGGAAAGAGGGGCAGCGGCTCTGGGAAAGGGCCAGGCTCAGCAGTTTCTTCCTCGTGGAGAGGAAATCTAGCAATCCTGGGAGTTACACAACACTCCCCGAAACCCAAACCAAAACTGCCCATGTCCCTTCCCTGGCCCTGGGGGATCGCAGCACTCCCCGAGAGCGCTAAGGCTTAGGGGCCCAGCCCCACCCCACTCCCCAGCCATGGGGAGCAAAGCCTATAGGATCTCCGGCCTTCAGGGTCCCTGGCTTGGGGGTCACTCTACCCCTCTGGTGTTCCCGAGACTTATGGTAGAGTAGGGTTCTTCTTGGCTGTTCCCAAGCCCTACTCACCCAGAGCGAGGTGTGCCACCTCCTGCCTTCACCCTGGAGACCCCACAACTTCCCTGGACCTTCTGCAGCAGGTGCTCAGGGGCTGGGTCCTGGCCTTTGGGTGCTCCATCCCCAGCCTCCAGTTCTCTGGACCTGTCAACTGATCCTCCACCTGCTGCTCTGATTCTAGCCAGCAGCTGCACAATTGATCCTTCTCCCCATCCAGGACCAAGAGCCTGGATCCAGTGCTGACGCCTGGGCTATGACCCCTATGCCATGCCAGCTTCTCCTTTAGCACCTGCTCGTCACCCACTTACCAGCACCAGCCTGGTCTTGTTATCTATCTGTCCCACTCCCTCCCATTATTCATACCCAGCCCGGCTCCTCCAGCCCTTGCCTAGCCCTGCTCCAACCACTGCCCAACTTACCCCTTTTCCCTGCCCCCTTCATGCCAGCCAAATCCCAGGGCCCCTCATTGCCATCTTGCAGCCAGCCATGCCCTTCATCTCCACCAGCTCTTGGGTTTCCCCAGTTCCTTGGCCCTTACTCATCAGCCAAGTTTTACTACCACCCCCAGTCTCAGCCAAGCCTCCCAGCCCTTTGCCCGCAACCCTCATCTCACACTCACGCCAGCTGAGGTCGCCTGCCGTCTGGCCCATGTCAGGGCCCAGCCTCTTTGGCCAGCCATCTCCTGGGTAGAGGGAGTCTTATAGTGGGGGCTGCACCCGGTTTCGCTTTCCGTCCTGCCTCCTGCTTGTACTTTCAGCTTTGTATTCACTCAGTCTTCCCTCCTGACCACCCCTTGCTAAAATGGGGAAATGTAATTTCCCTTCCCAGAGAGGGTGGGAGGCAAAGCACGGGGGGTGGGGGTGGGGTAGGAGGGGCAGAATGGTGGCGGGAAACTGGGGTTTCAGTGGATACAACTCCTGACCCCCTGCTGAGCTCCCTGTCCTTCCTTCCACATTGCACTCCAATCACTGGGAGGTGCTGTACTGTAAGACCCCTCCAACTTCTCTTGGCCCTGTCATCATCTTCTTAGAGCCATCCATCACCGCTCCAGGGTCTGCAAGGTGCGTGGCCAGGTGAGGGGATTGCCCGCTAGAGGGGACTCGGGGCTTTGAGTCAGCCTCACTCTCGGATTTACCAGATGGCTGACAGAGGGGGTGATGGAGTCAGCGATCAGTATGGGTCCCAGGCTGGCTATTTTGAAACTGGGGCCAGAAATGAAAGAGACCACGGCAAAGGCCAATCCTGGAACCCAAGTCAGGGCTCCCTCGAGGCAGGGCTGGCAGCTAGGTCTGGGGTCAGGATTTGACACTCAGGATTACAGGTGCGTCTACAGCCATGGTTGGGACTCAGTCAGGGACTGGACTTACAGAACCTGGCCTGGGGTGGAGGTTCGGGCCTCTTGCCTGTTTCAAGGCCAGCACATGCTCAGTAACCCAGGGCCCCCTATTTGGGGCCTGTCAGGGTTAGGCTTTGAAGCTCAGCCCACATCCCAGATCCTGTCTGTGGCTGGGGTTCTGCCTGAGGCTGGGGCTGAGGCTGGGACAAGGGCTCGGGCTGTGACGAGGATAAAGGCTCAGCCAGCACCCAGAATAACTCTGGGGAGACCACTGTTAGGGTTTGGGTGCAAGGGTGACCGCAGGGCTCTCTTCCAGCACGGCCCCGCCCTTGGCCCCACCCTGGATTTCCCATCTTCTGGGAGCCCAGGGGGGTTTCTCGGTCTTCCCCGAGGCCCTCTGCTGCCGCTTTCCTTTTGGGACCTGTGGGGTTTCCCTGCCAGGCCCCTGCTGTGAGACAGAAACCTAAGGGACTTCCCCTTCTCACACCCTGCCTGCTCCGGCCCTGCTGGGCACTGCCCACAACAATCGCTCCTCGGGACCCAGGGCCAGTGAAGAAGCAGCGGTTCCTGGGGGAAGCAGTCTGGGAAGCCAGTGCTGGAGGAGGAGGACAAGGCAGCTGGGCAGCACCCACCAATGGCAGCAGCTCTGTACCCAGGCTGCAGGGGCTCCCCAAGGGAGAGGGGGGAGGGTCCCACAGAGTGCAGGACAGGTGGTGAGGATGGATCAAGGCACAGCTGCTATTGCACGTGCGCCCAAGGCCTACTGTCCCTTATCTTCAACCACATGGGTCCTGCCTGCAGCTCTTGCCACGCCCATACCCCTCCGCATCTGCCATGACCTAGAGCAGCGGCACCTTCAAACTTCCAGCCCCCTTCTCCATGCTCTGATCACATCCTACCACCTGTGGGGGGCCTCCAAGTCTCCTCCCAGGTTCCCCCCAGCCTGGCGTATTTACCCCAGCGGGAGCCACTCTGCTGCTCCATCCCTCACCTCCCTTTCTTGGTGCTCCAGCACCCTTCCTGTTTGTCTTTCCCAATGTATTGACAGATACACACACACACCATGGGACTCCCTAAAGCTGGATCAGGCCAAAGCCCAGAGCGTGGAGTTCTATCCAGGTCTCTCTTCCCACATTTGGCCGTACCAAATGAGCCAACCCCTGCCACCTCCCAACAGAGCGTGGTAGCAAAGCCCTGAGATCCAAAGTGAAGTTGGAGTTGCAGTTCAGGCATTCAGCTGTGGGATGTGGGTCCTGGAATTGGGGTCTTCGCCACCGCACCAGACACCCAGCCCTTACGTCCCTCCGTTCAAGTCCAGAAGACCATTCCAAGACTCCTAGACTCGGCATTCAATACGCTGTGATCAGAGAAGGTCACATGTTGTCATCCGCAATTCTATCAGTAAACCCTTGGACAGCCCGTGCTTGGGGGATTTACATGAGGTCAAGGCCCAGCCCCCTGGAAGTGCACATTCCCAGACCATTTAAAGTCAATCACGAGCCAGGTTTCACAGCTCGGTGGTTATGTCATCACTTGAGATAGCCCCATCCCCTGGCAGGATGCCTGGGTTCAAATCTTGGCTCCTTTGCAGCTGTTTCTTCTTTTTGAAGATTTATTTATTTATTTTTCTTAGAAAGTCAGATTTACAGAGAGAAGGAGAGAAGGAGAAAAAGATCTTCCATTTGATGATTCACTCCCCAAGTGGCTGCAATATCCAGAGCTGAGCCAATCTGAAACCAGGAGGCAGGAGCTTCTTCTGGGTCTCCCAAGAAGTTGCAGAGTCCCAAGGGTTTGGGCCATCCTCTGCTGCTTTCCCAGGCCACAAGCAGGGAGCTGGATGGAAAGTTGAGCAGCCAGGACATGAACCAGCACCCGTGTGGGATCCCAGTGTATGTAAGGCAAGGATTTAGCCTCTGAGCCATTACGCTGGGACCAATAAATACGTTTCTTAAAGATTTTATTATTTTGGGCCCGGTGGCGTGGCCTGGTGGCTAAAGTCCTTGCCTTGAACGCACCGGGATTCCATATGGGCACTGGTTCTAATCCCAGCAGCCCCACTTCCCATCCAGCTCCCTGCTTGTGGCCTGGGAAAGGAATCAAGGATGGCCCAAAGCCTTGGGACCCTGCCTCTGTGCGGGAGATCCTGGAAGAAGTTCCTGGATCCTGGCTTCGGATGGCCATAGCATCAGCTGTTGCGCTCACTTGGGGAGTGAATCATCAGACGGAAGATCTTCCTCTCTGTCTCTCCTCTCTGTATATCTGCCTTTCCAATAAATAAATATTTTTTTTTAAAAAGATTTTATTGTTTTTATTCAAAGGAAAGATTTACAAAGAGAAGGAAGCAGAGTGAACTGTTCCAGTGCTGGTTCACTCCTCAAATGACCTTAATGGCTGGTCTGAAGCCAGGAGCTTCTTCTGAGTCTCCCAAGTGGGTACAGGAATAAAAACTTTCCTCTACTGCTTTCCCAGGCTATAAGCAGGGAACTGGATGGGAAGTGGAGATTCCTGGACTAAAACAGGCGACCTTATGGGATGCCAGCATTGTGGGGAGAGAGAGCTATCACATGAACAATAAAGAAGAATCTTCATTGCCCAAGCTTGGTGACAGCACTCTCTCACTGCACTCCCGGAGCTGCTGGGAGCTGCTTGCTGCACCACGTAAGCACCCAACGCAGGAGTAAAAACCCTTTCATCCTCCAATCAGCTTGAGAGCTGTGCAGTACAGTTTCTGTGGGAAGTACAAAACATTCCATTAACTAAGTGCCAGGACGCAGTAAGGGAGCTGCCAGAACACAAAATTCCTGTAGTGAATTCACTTAAATAATACACCAGAGAGGCCTGAGAGCAGGGTGTCTCCTTAGCTCTTTACCATGCACTCAATTAACTTGAATGGCGTGGGAGGAATTAAGAAGGGTGGGTGTGTGTGCAGTCAAAACCTTCTTTTGGGCCTGACATGGTGACCTTGTGGCTAAAGTCCTTGCCTTGCACATGCCAGGATCCCATATGGGCACCGGTGCTAATCCTGGTGTCCCTGCTTCCCATCCAGCTCCCTGCTTGTGGCCTGGGAAAGCAGTGGAGGATGGCCCAGAGCCTTGGGATCTTGTACCTGTGTGGGAGACCTGGAGAAAGCTCCTGGTTTCTGGTTTCAGATTGGTGCAGTACTGGCCGTTGTGGCCACTTGGGGAGTGAATAATCAAACGAAAGATCTTCCTCTCTGTCTTTCTTCCTCTTTGTATATCTGACTTTGCAATAAAAACAAACAAATAAACAAACAAAAACACCTTCCATTGACTTGGCAAGCTCACTGCTTTAGAGTGCTATTATTATCCGGCTGCACCCCATCATAGCCACTGTTTCAGGTGGAGGATTGGCCTGTTAAACCACATGCCAGCCACCATAAGTTAAAATTTTAAAGATCAATCTAAGTTACTGGATGCCACAGAAGTGTATTTCCTAGGAAGTCCTGCCTTGTTCCTAACAACCTCCCACCATGGGGTCCTCAAGCTAATGGAACTGCCTGTGCCACAAAGTAGCATCTGTGATTTGGGGTTCCAAAAGCAGATCAAGCACAATGAGCGTGTTCATCCCTTTTGGCGGTTGTAGAGCATCTGCATCTGAGTTATGCACACAAGTCCCCCAGTGAGCCTCGGATGTCCCATCTGTCTCATGGGACTCGCGGGAATGGCTGAAGCTGGGAACCTCACCAGTTTCTATCTTCAATCTTGCTAACTGTTTGCTGACGCTATGCTAGCCACAGTGGCCTGGGCCTGCTTGTGGCTCCTGGGGCATCCCTCGGGGCTTGGAACTGCCCACGCCTTCTGCCCAGAACATTCCTCCAGACAGCCACCCAGGAAATCTCTCTTGTTAGGCTCTGCACTCAGGGCACGGCTGCTCAGCGTGTTCCTATCCCATATTGCAAATCCCTGACTCCAATTCTTCAGATCCTGCTTGCCATGCATGTGACCATGAGAGGGTAACAGGGGTGGCTTCCTGCCATTCACATGGGGCACCCAGAGGGAGTTCTAGTTGCTTGGCTTTGGCCTGGCCCAGCCCTGGCTGTTGCAGGCATTTGCAGGCGTGAACCAACAAATGCAAGTTCTCTGACGCCATCACACCAGCCCTTTCTCAGATGAGGTCATCTCTGATGATTCTATGAAAAGATACAGCCCCAAGCTTGGCACTTTCTGTCTCCTGCACATGGCAGAGCTCTTTTGTTCAGGTCGCCAAGCTCTGGGCTGTGATGCCACAGGGCTGGGGACTCTTGCCTGCCTTCCGCGCAGATACTTCCCAGTGTCAGTAACAAGAGGATCTGAA